CTCCACAGACAGCCCCACAGCAGCCCTGCCACAGGCGTGGGCTGCAGGGCTGTCCTGCAGCACGGTGCACCCACCTCAGCCCTTGCACAATGCAAATTCCTGCTCTTTCCAGGCTCCTAACCCACCCTTTCTTACAGAAACACACAGTTTGACAAGAACAAGCCCTTTTGCATACCTCTGCTTACCTGATTCACTTCCTTGAAGTCCCTCAGACATTTCTAACCCTGCACACAGCTCCCTCAACTTGATCACGTTTATGAGTCTTCCAAAAATCAGAGTCAACATAAAAAAAGTTCTTGTGTCAAAGCAGTTCCAGCAATGTGAACCCCAGCATCTCTTGTGCCACATGCTGGGTGTAGTGGATCCAGTGGCTGGCTTGTGGTAGGAAAGAGAATTAAGTAACAAACTCCATTTCTTGAAGGTTTCTTTTAATATAAATCTTTGACACTCAATAACATGAAACATTCCCAACTGGACCAGCAGGAAAATTAAAGCAATTAGAACACAGATGCTTATATAATACCACAGATTGTTCTAGGTTACACTCAAGCCTCACAGGAGGCAGCAGCTTAAAGACAGCTCCTCCAGTGCAGGGCTGTAAGAGCTGCCACCCACAGCAGGCTCTGGAACTGGGCACTGGGGCACAGCTCTCATTCTTTCCCTCTTCTGTTCCAATAAAACGGAAAGTACATTCAAAAGTGAAATAACAGGGCTGCAGACCCATTACAGAGGTTACACTTGCAATTATCAACAAATACCTGCTGCAGTGTTTTACTTGCACAACAGTGAGCACATTTTCTTCTTCCCTGGTGCAAAGAAAACCCAGAGCCCTGTGCCAGGAGAGCAGAACCAGCAGGAGGCTTCCAGGAACTCAAAGCCTCGCACAAACAGCTTCCAACACTTTTTCAAAAGTCTTGGCTTAAAAAAAACCATGGGGGAGTGGGCAGGGAGGATAATGCACAGCTCACTGGAGTCTGGGGAGTGTGAAGCTGAATCTAAACCTTTCCTCAAGCTTCACCAGCTTGCTGTCCTTCCTCTAGGAACAGCAGAACTCATCACTCCAACCTGACTCGCCCCACAGCACACACACGTGGGTACCTGTCCCCACCTGAGCCCCCAAACGTAGCCCAGGGCTCCCCAGCATCCCCCACCAGTCCCAGGAGACCATCCGGACACTGGCACAGAGGGACACGTTTGAGAAATGCTGCTCATTCGAATCCTGCTGACTGAATGGGCTCAGGAAGCAGTTAAGGAGAAGCTGCAATGATTTATGGGGTATCAGAGGGCCACACAACCACCTTGGGCAAGGCCTTCCTGCAGGAAAGCCGGGCTTTTAAAATAAATCACTATCAAGCACACTGAATTTGGAATACCTTGGGTTTTACTGCAGCTTAGTTACACCCTGTGTCTGAGTGAGCAATTCCTTCATCCCATCCTGCTGCAGTGGGAACTTCTGGCATGAGCCAGACTTGTGGTGCTGCCAGAAAAGGACTCGGACTCCAAAGATTACTGGTGGGAGATGTGCCACTTATCCCAGAACTGTTCAGTGCTCACCTGCACTCACCACTCAGACCATTTCAGCCCAGCCACCTGCAGCTCAGGTGCTGGAGTCCCTGGAAAATCAGGACTTTGTGGCAAGCCAGTACAGCCATGAGAGACCCATTGGTTTTGACAGGCTATTTCTGTCCACAAGAGGTACTTAAGGTGATGTTTCTAAATGTAAAATACATTTTAAAAGTGGGATTTAAGAGTCTTGCCATCAAAAGAGCTTTAAATTGCTGGGTAAAGTGTCACCTAATGTCTATCACAGCTTGTGATAAAGAATTAGGTGTGGTCTTGAAAAAGCAGCATGCAGGGCTGAGGGACCCTCACCATCCACTCCTCCCAATGGATTTCTTTTCTCCATCTCATTGTCTGATTCAAAAACTCCTTCCCCCCACAAAATCACATTTTGCAGACACAACTTGAACATAAACCAAATTCTAGGGCTGATATCTAGAAGCCTCCACAGTGGCATTTTACATGCAGGTCTCATAAGAATGAAGATGTTTCCTCAGCCAGGGTACAGAGCTCTGTGAGCCAAAACCTCTGACTAGAACTACTCCTTCCTTAAACCAACACCTCCAGAAAGTCACCTGGAACTCAGTTCATGGGATAAGGGCATTCAGGAAGCTCCATAAAACCAGTCTGAGCAAAATCATGTTTATTCTAAATCTTCAAAGGACCTCCAAGCCTGTGGGTATTCCTCCTGGGTGCCCTCCCAGTGAACCACCTCCAGCTCCTGATCTGCAGCTGAAGGATGTCACTAATGCAGCCTGAAGCTGGGATTAAAGCTGGACACTCCAAAGCAGGGCAGCCACAGCAGTTCAGTTTTGAACTGAGAATCAACGTCCACAAGCATTTACAGAAGTAAAACCCACTACAGCAGCATGTGAAGATCAATTCAGAGCATTAGTGAAGAGAAACACTGATACCCCTAGAAAAGCACAGGATTTGGGGAAGTTCAGCCGTGAAACACAAGGGAGAGTGAAAACTCCAAGCAAGGGCAGAAACAATGAAAAAACAACTAAACTACCTGCTGCAGGTGGCTGCACCTTCACAGAGCCAGCACTAGCACTCCAAATAAACCTTGTGGCAACCAATGGAATGGATGATGTTAAACGTGGAGCAAGAAGTTAAAGTTATTTCATCTCCAGAGCAAAACTGGGATCACCACAACTGACACTCCAACCACCTTTCCCAGCATTCTTGTACAAGTGCTGCTCCTTTTCATGCTCTGTGCTGCCAAGGAAGGACAGAGCAAGCCCTGACACCATGCCTTTACAAGCCCTGATCCTCCCTGCTCTCCACAGCTCAGCAGTGGTGCTCAGAGCCTGAGATCATGTCACTTGGCAGGCACCAGAGATGCTGCAAGTTCCAGAAACTGCTGGCCATCCCTACTTGGATGTCAGATGAAACCCTTGGAGTGAGCATCAGCAGCCAGGTCACCGTGGGCCTGAGTCAGGCTCCTGTTCCTGCAGCAGCGTCATGGGGAGAGCACAGCCAGATGACTGCAGCCACCCCCAGAGCCCTCAGCTCTGTCCTTTCTAGGGATTGAGAGGAAATGTGTGTCTGCTTCAGCTGCCATTCCTGCATCCTTTACCTCCTAGAAAGGCAACACCCCGCGCTGCCTGTTGGGAAATTCCAGGACACCTGATCAGATTCACCACCTGCACCTCAACTGCTTGAGACCAACACCAAAATGCACCATTTTCATTTGGTTTTTATGGGAGTACTACCTGCAAATCCAAACCAGCTCCTGTCAGCATGGCCAAACCACCAGAACTCACTTCAGCTCAGCTCACTCTGGCTCTCTTCCTTACACCAGGCAAGCAGGAACTGTGGGCTGTGCCAGCAGCAGCAGTGCCACATTCATGGAGTTCAGGGATGCCCCACAGAGCCCCCACACTCAAACAGCTCGAGCTCCTGCAGTGTCCCTCTGGCCTGAGAATCTCTGCAGCATTCAGTCCTCCACACACCCCAGCACTGCCCTCCTGCCACCTCCCAAAATCCACGTGCACCGAGCCCCCTGTGTGGCAGCAGCATCACACAGCCAAGAGCAAGCTGCAGCCTGCCTCAGCAGAGCAGCAAGGAATGCTCTCTTCCTTTTGGTCAGGCACCTGTAGGACCTCAAACTCCACATCCATGGCCTGTGCCTGCACCCCCTGCACTAGAGCTTGCTGTGACATTTCAGGCCTGCAGCTTTTTAACCTTCACAGTGAAATAGAGCTATAATAGCTGTAATGAATTTCCTAACAGCCATAATTAGGATTGATACACAGACTGAAAACTTTTGACCTATCAACCTGTTTACTTTTAGTTTTCAATCCAGTCCCCATTAATTATGCAATTAGTTTCCCTATGCAGCAATCATTCCAGAAGTATTTTTCAGCCATCTCTGCTATGAGCACCTTGGTTAAAGCCTTGGAAGAGGAAGCTGACAAGGACACACAAATACAAAAAAACACTTTGTAGTTGTACATAATTTTTAATGAGTCCAAATATTATCAAGGGTCAAACTAAAAACGTACCCCCTAATCCCCAGATGGAGGGGAAAATGAGCCAACTATCAGGACTAAATGCAAAGCTTTTAAAGTGGATTTAACTTTAAGTGTTTATAAAGCGAACCAAGCATTTAAGCAGATGTTCCAGTGTCTTTTGAGACAGAAAGTCTCCTTGTAGCTGTTCCTGACTCCCTGACCCAACAAGTCACTGTGCAACCAGTCTGCCAAGAGAGCAGGAGCTGCTCCTGACTGCAGACACAGACCTGGGACAGAGCCCAAGGGAGGAGCAGGGTCAGACACAGCACCAAGGGCACTGCGATTCCCAACACCAGAGCAAAATGGTGATAAGCCAGATGTTCAATCAGTGCTTCAAAACCACTGGAAAAAAACAAGCTTTATCTTATTGGTTTATTTTAAGCACTTGAACACATCTCTTCCTGGCCACTAGGCAGATATTCAGTTCCAAAAAGACATTTTGCACTCCCAGTGCTCCCAAACTTCATATTTTAAATACCAGCAGAGCCTCTTATTGCCATTTTTAACATGCAGCAAGTTAAAACAAGAGATGTGCTCATTCACATGAACAGTTAAACACAGCAATCCAGCAAAGTGAGGGCTTGCCACCTCCCTCAGCTCAAGGAAGGCACTTGCCACTGCTCACTGGATCAGTTCAGCAGAAGGCAAGTGCTCCAAGGAGCAGCACCTGCAGAGCCCCCCAAGCTGCCATTTCCCATTCTGTGGCTGAAAGATGCTCACAGAATTGTATTATTTGTTTTATGACATAGTTCTAGACCTGTACACAGCACAGAAAAAGACTTTGGACTCCTGCAAACGCTGGGGATACAAAGTATTTAGGCTGCCAAAATCAAAGCCAATACCTGCTCTAACAGCAGGGATGGCAATCGGGTAAGGTCAGCTGAATTAGCACCCAGAAGGAATCCCATAATTACTACTTACATAGATGAGCCCAGAGTAATAGCGATCCTTTAAATTGTGCAATACAGAGGCTTCGTTTAAACAGGTTAATTCTGCCATGTCTTCCACTTTGGAGAACTTGGGAGGATTCATCTTCTGAACATCATCTTTATTGACGAGCGCCTTCTTCCCGTTCTCTGCCAGTTCAACCAACACCTCGTCCCCTTTCTCCTCCTTGATGCTGGCAGCCTCGAAGCCATGGCGCTCCGAGGGGATCCACACCAGCTTCTTGGCAGTCCAGTCGGCCTGGGTGGCAGGGTTGTAGATGACAGCCCTGTCCACGAAGAGGTAGCGCTCCGGATCCTCCTGCCCCGACCTCTGCGCCATCCCGCCAGGAGAAGGGCTCCGCTCCCAGTCACCTGCCAGAGAGAGGGAAAGCAAGGAGAAGTTACACACCAGCCTCGCCCTGCTCCGTGCCACAGCAAGGAGCCACCAGCAGCACCTTCTCCATGGAGCCACCAGCAGTGGCACCTTCCCCAGGGAGCCACCGGCAGCACCTTCTCCATGGAGCCACCAGCGGCGGCCCCTTCTCCAGGAGAAGCAGCGCCAGGCACCACTCCCAGCCTGGAGAAGCTGCTGCACAGCCGGGGCCCTGCTCACACACACCTGTGCCACACCAAAGCTCAGTTACCTGGCAGTGTCACCCACACCCCGTGCAGGACAGCCAGCAGGGACCGGTTCCAGCTGTGCAGCAGCAAGGGAGAGACATCACAGCAAGAGCTGATGGCAGGAAAAACACGCACTGGTGTTCTGGGCTCAGATAAGGAACAAGAGCAAACAGGGCAGAAGCTTGGCACTAAACTCAGCTGTGATGGAACAGTGAAAAACACAAATACAGAGATGGATACAAACCCATAAATCTGCTCACTGGATTCTGCTGCAAAAACCAGAAGGCGGCAAGGATGAGTTTTAAAAATGTGGATTTTCAACTACAGACAAGAACTTGGGACACTTGGGGCTTTTGCAAGCCATCAAAGCAGCTAAACCTTGCTCACATTCTTCCTGAAAAGCTTTGCATTTCTACAGCCTGCTCCTGTTCTCAGTCCTGAGTGCTGACATCACCATATTCCAAAAAATGTCTCCAGATCTCAAGTTTACCTCCCGGCTCAAAGCACCGCAAAGAATGATGCTGGATTTTCCAAGAGCTCCACGGGTAATTTGAAGCAGAGAGAAAAACCACTGACTGACAAGAGCCCCTGCACACTCATTTTACCTGGCTGCCTCTACCCAAGAGAGGCCCCTGCCCCTTCTGCAGGCACTGCCATCACAGCCAGGATTCCTGGAGCTGGCAGATCCACCTGGAGCTGCCCACAGAGCACCAAGGTAAAGCCTGACCCCTGGTACTGAGGACTTTAAACGTCTCGGTTTGTAACACACAACATCTTCCCCGCTAAAGAGCCTCACATGGGTACGGAATCCTTTCCCAGCAGGTAACCCAAAGACCAGCTTGGGAACAAAGCCAGGGAGGCTCCCAAACTGCATTTGTGTCACCTTTCCCACTACAGCACGCACCCTGATGGAAGTTCTGCAGCCCAACCCTCCTAAGAACGTGTAATTAAACAGGATATTGTGTCTCCATCTAAGGTGGAAAGATTTGTTACATTGTCCAACTTCATTGCAAAGCAAGCCTGAAGTCACTGAACCCTTCAGAGGTGCGAGGAGAAGATCCTTCAGCACAGATGGCTTAATTCAAATCAAGATATGATGACTCAACACTTAAAGTATTTTAGAAGAGCCTCTCCGAGAAAATTCCCATGAATAAAGATGGAATCATCGAGGGGGCACCTCGAAGTGATAGCTGGACTCTTCCACCAGGAAATGGAAGGTTTAGTCAATGAATGCCACATTTGGCTGGAGAAGTCCACAGATGAAACAAGCGAGCTTTGAAAGCCACGTGAGAAAGGTGACTGTCCCCACCGTGCCAGGCTGCAGCCCGAGCCCCAACAAAGCCCTGGAACGCCAGTGCCACCCTCGGTGTCAGTCCTGAGCTCCCCGGGCAGGTGAGACCCAGCCCAAGGCGGCCAGGACTCCGTTTTTACACACCACGGGGCACTGAAACCTGAAGGTCAAATAAAGCTCATCCGGCAAAACGAATCATTATTGCAGCCCGACGGAATTAAAGGGTGAAGACTGAGATGAATGCGTCCCTACACGAGTGCACGCACCACGAACGGTGTCACGGGCTTGAGAGCCGCTCCCGAGATAGACCCAAACATCGGGGGAGCACAAGCACGGCCAGGGTCACTCCTCCAGCCGGGCTTCCAAAGCCCATCACAAAAGCCCCTCTGCAGAGGCACAGCAAGCTGCAGCTCACCCTACGCAGGGCTCCTCCGCTAACAATGGCATTCAAATGAAACACACAAATGAGCGCATTTATCATGCAGGAATCCCAACAGACGACGTGCGAATAAAGGCAGGAGAAAAAAAAACCCAAAAATCCAAAAAAAACCAAACCTAAAAAAAAACCCTCCCGCACGCTCGGAACAAAAGCGGGCGGGGGGCACGGCGGGCAGGGCCGGGCCGGCGGGGCAGGGCCGGGCATCCCCGGGCCCGAGCAGCGCCCCGGGGCCGCGGCCGCGCTGCCGCCCGCCGGGCCCGAAGGACAAAGAGGCGGCCGCGCTCGGCCCGGCGGCGCCCGCAGCCCCGCGGGGAAGGCAGAAAATGGCCGAGAACGGCAGAGAACGGGCGGGCACGGCCGAGCGCGGCCCCCTCCTCCCGCGGCACCGGCGGCGCGGGGGAGGGCGGCGCGGGCGGGCGGCCCAACAAGGGGGTCTTTGTGTGCCGGGCCCGCCACACCCCCGCCGCGGGCGGGACCCGCCGAGCCGCCGCCGCCACCACCACCCCCCGACACTGTGCCCCGGTGCCCGGCCCCGCGGGCTCACCTGTGCCGCGCCGGCCGCCGCCCGCCCGCCGGCTCCGCCGCGCCCGCTCCGCCCCGCGCCCGCCGCGCTCCTTTAGCGCCGCGCCGGCCCCGCCGCCCCCCGCCGCGCCGCCCGCCCCCGCCGCCGCGCGCCGCGCGCCCATTGGCCCGCGGCCGCGTCCGTCAGCGCCGCCGCGCGCTCCCATTGGTCCGTGCCGCGGCCGCTCTCCGGCCACAGCCATAGCAACCTCCGCACGCTGTGGGCCGGCCCGCCCCCGCGACGAGCCCCGCCTCGCTCAGCGCCCATTGGGTCCTGTCACACCGCAGCGCCGATTTGATTGGGCGGCCGCCACGCCCGTCAAGGGCGGGTCCCGCCCCGCGCTGCAGCACGGCCGGCGGGGGCGCGTCCCCGGTGCTGCGGCGAGCGGCGGGAGCGCGCCTCCCCCGCGCCCGCCCGGGCGGCCCCGCGCCCGGCACCGGCACCGGCACCGGCACCGGCAATGCCACCGGGATCCGAGCCGGGCTCCGCACAGCCCGGGCCCGCCTCCCCTGCAGCCGCCCGCGCGGCCCCGCGGCCGGCACCGGCAATGCCACCGGCAATGCCACCGGGATCCGAGCCGGGCTCCGCACAGCCCGGGCCCGCTTCCTACGCCGCCCGCCCCGCGGAGCCGGCCGCAGCCCCCGGCGGCCGCCGCCGGGCCACCCCCCGGGCGGTGGCGGACACGCGGTGTCCCGGCCCGGTGTCCCCGTGCCGCCCCTCGGCCGCCGTGCCCATCCCAGCTCCCGTTCTCCGCTCCCGAGCTGTGTCCCCGAGGTTCCGGAGCCCTCGCCCGCCGGGCAGCGCCGGTTCCGGCTCACCCGGGGATGCGGGAGCCGCGGCGGGGCAGGGGCGGCGTTCGCGGAGCCTCCGAGCGCCGCGGGCTCTGCAGGCGGTGCCGGGGCTTTGGGATGGAGGGATGGATGGATGCCTCGGGTGTGCCGGGGGTTTGGGATGTTGGGATGGATGGATGGATGCCCCGGGGGTTTGGGATGTTGGGATGGATGCCCCGGGGCTGCTGGAGCCGGGTTCATCGCAGACAGCTTCCCCGGTGTGCTCCCTGCCCGAGCCTCCCGGAGCCCGGCACGGCTGCGGCGGGCGCAGCCCCGGCCCGGGGCTCGGTGTTCCAGCCCCGGCCGCCCCGCTCCTGCCTGCCCCAGCAGCGAGCAGGGCTCGGCGGTAAAGCCGTTCGGTGAGAGGAATTGGTGTTGGATGCTGCTGGCTGCGATGCGGCAGGAGGGAGCACCAGCCCTGCCCGGGGGCAGAGCTGCAATCGGGGGGTCCCGGGCAGGGCTGGGGACAGCAGCAGGGATGTGTCCCCTCTTCCCTGTGCTTGGCAAGCCGGGCTTCCTGTCTGGAACAGAAGTGTTCCAAATCACACCTGCCTGTGCAGTCCAGCTTTGCATTTTGGATGGGTTTCAGGGTTCAAAAGGAGGCAGTCAGACAAACGGGGGGTGCCAGGCTCCTGGCATGGAGCTGGGGATCACTAGCTCACCCCACAGGAGACACTCAGGTGAACAGCCCTGGCACAGAGTTGGGGATCACTGGGTCACCCCAAATATGACACTCAGGCAAATGTGGGGTGCCAGGCTCTTTGCACAGAGTTGGGGATCACTGGATCACCCCAAAGGTGGCACTCCGGTGAACAGCCCTGGCACGGAGCTGGGGATCACTGGCTCACCCCAAAGGTGACACTCAGGTGAACAACCCTGGCACAGAGTTGGGGATCATTGGCTCACCCCAAAGGTGGCACTCCGGTGAACAGCCCTGGCACGGAGCTGGGGATCACTGGCTCACCCCAAAGGTGACACTCAGGTGAACAGCCCTGGCACGGAATTGGGGATCACTGGCTCACCCCAGCCCGTCACTGCTCACAGATCAGCTCCTGCACAGCTCCTGGCGCCTGGGTTTCTCTGAAAGTCTCCCTCGTAATTACCATTGCAGTGGGAGGTCTTGCACGTCCTGTTTCTCCGAAAAATCAGGGTGTTGACTCGCAGGCAGATGAAAGCCAAAAGGCTCAACTGGTTCCTCCCCTGCGTTTCGCTGTGCAAGGGCTGTGCCACTCCCGGGCAGCCCAGCTCGGTGGCCACTGCCCCAGCAGCCCCAGGCAGCCCAGTGAGGCAACCCCACATTCACCTTGGGTTGCCTAAACACAGCCATGTCCCAGGATCGACGCTTTTCCCTTGCTCAGCCTTCGGGTCTCTGTGAGACGAGGCGCTCAGCCAGTGCCACACAGCAGTGCCAGCTCCCTGGCAGTGCCAGAACTTTCCAGTGGAGGAGCCTGGTGAGTTCTTTGCTCCCTTTGCAGGGATCAGGGGCACCAGGGCAGCACCAGGAGCAGCATCAGCACCAGCTGTGGTCACCCCTCAAGGCAGCCAAGGCCTGGGGATGGTGCAGCATCCAAACCTCGATGCCCTCACACCCCAGGGC